GCTTCCCCCTCCCGCCTTCCTTTCCTGCTTCCCTCATATCTTATTTCCCAGCCCCTCTTCGCTGTCTCTCTCTCGTTCTCTCTGTCACCTGTATTGGAAGCAGCTCTGCACTCGGGGTCTTTGTTGCCTGTTGTGAAAGGAGCTGAAGATGTTGTCAGTCTCTGGCTGTCAGCACACAAACAGAATTTATGACCACATAGACCAAGGAGCTTTGAGAAGCGTGACTCTCTCTTGTGGCCATTCTTTTTCGCCTTAACGCTTGCAACCATACTGCAATAGGACAATAGGTGTGCTATATAATCTCAAGAGTCACAATATAGTGCATCACTGAGTGCCTTACTGCTTGTATAATAAAAAGCAATGTTATTCATTATAAAAATGCATACAGATTTAAATTAATGATTGCATTCATAATAAAAAAAATCTTATTCATAATAAAATACATGTATAGTATATATATTAGTAAAATAAATGTATTGAAGTGAAGTTGCTCTCATTCATTTTTCCTAATAAAAAAACGTTTCAGACTTAAAAGAAATGAATAGTACCTTTTGGAAAACTACTTTTGTACAGTAACATGAAAACAAATAATACAAATTAAAAAATATGGTTTCATTTTAGATGGAGGAGCAGGTGGCATCATAGGTGCAGACACATTGAGGTCATGTCACAATCTAAATGCTACTGAATATTGTTTAACCACTCTGTTACTGGATGCTTTTGATTGTATGTGATGTGGAATTGCTGCATTTTGTTTTTATTATTTTATCATTTAATTTTATTCCACTAGAAGATATAGTTCTTGTAAACAATAACAGAATATTTAAAAAAAAAATCTCCCTCCACTAGAAGATATAGTCCTTGACATGTAAACAATAACAGGTAGTTTTCTCTATGGCTTATTATATACACAGTTGTTAGGTAAACAGGTGTTTGGCATCATAGATATTACTATATTGTGTATTTTTGCACATTTTGAGCACTGTAATGATAAATCGGCCAGTAGGACTGGAGCTATTTGTTTTATAATTTACAGTAAGCAATGACAAAGCAATATTTAACAAGCACAGTGTAAAATGAAGTACCTGCTAGAGTCTAATGCTAAGGGGAGTCATTATTGACCTGTAGCTGTGCTGAGCACCAGTGGTGTGTCCTGGGTAAGCCATGACGTGTTAGTTATAAGGCGTGATGAGGTCCCTGTGCGTATTGCTGATAACCTGTTATCTCATGCTGTCACCTCTGACTCCACACTGCACCACGGGTAGTCATGCAAAACCAGAGCTGCCTTTTAAAAGAGTTTATTTGATTTTGTGAGGTACTGATTTATTTAGAGAACAGGGATTACCATGCTAAATCAATATAAACCCGCCTACAAAACCCTACTGTGATGCTTTCTCTGGCTTTATTATTACAGTCTCATATCATTCATGTCTGTCTTTCTTTTTATTATTTAAAACGCAGGCTCTGGTTCATGATGATGAAATTTTTGCATTGCATATTGCATTTCTCTTTCTCTCTCTATATGTGTGTGTGTGTGTATATGTACACAGCTTGTGCACCATTCAGACATGAATTAAATATGACTTTTAAATTCCAGTTAAATTTAACTGAATTTGGATTGATGAAGCAAACAGAATACAGAACTCTAAATCAAATTTGAATTTAAGGAGGTAGAATCAAATGGAATATAATTTAAATAAACTCATATAACTGCTTTAAGTGTAGTTTTTAGTAATACATGATTATAAGTAAACATGTTTATAAGTTAAGATTCTGAATATTGTATATTTGCCATTACAAGGATTGTCACTGTCCTCCTCTGTTCTCTCTCTTTCTCTTAGACTATACTTCTGTGTCTTGAAGACAACCTGGCAGCTGTGATTATCCTTGCTGACACAGGATAGACCTTTATTTTAATACACTCCACTGCCCTTTGACGCACAACTAAATAACATGCTGTTGACTGACATTTATCAGTTCACATGAAAACACATCTCACAATGAGATCCACCTCACAGCTTCACATGCGGAGCTCAGTGTTGTCATATGTATGCTATAAAAATAAAATCAAACAATATATAATTTTATACAATTATATATATTTTGTGTGTGTGTGTGTGTATTATATATATACACACAATATATATATATATATTTATTTTATTATTTTTTTCATATTTTGCAATACAGACAATGAAAATCTCACTAGAGGATTTTTTAACATATTTCTTGAGTTGACAGTTATTATGGCTGATTGCATTTAATACCATAAACTCAAATTTAACAGTATAACAATTCAATTTAGGAACACAAAGACAAAGCATAAAAGATGGCAAGATAAAGAGGACAGAAAAAAACAGAGATGGGGGAGATAAGGAGAAACAGAGTGACTGAGGTTAGTCTACAGTGATTACAAATTCAATATGTAATATATTTTCTATTTTCATCCAATAAAGTGTGATTTTGTTGCGAAGGACATGAACAGCCGAATATCAAAGAAAGTGGGGGAGGAAGGGAGATGCATTCAGGGGAAAGATGGCCATTGTGTATGCATTCTGTATCCCAACGCCAGCCGCAATCATATGGCCCTGTGACTTCCTATGAGTTCTTTCTGCACCTTGAATAACATGTAATGGGCTGATCTCACGACATTAGCATTCATTATACTAAGAGAGAGAGAGGTGGGGAAAGAGAGAGAGAGTGACTGGAGGGAATGAAAGTGCAACATGAATTTTAACAATATGCTCATTAATTATTTATTCCTCTGGAAGGAGAGATAGAGAGACAGATTTCATATCTGTTACTGATGCTTTCTCATTCTCTCTGCCTTTGTAACTTTTCTGTTTGTTGCCCTCACTGTGACCTTCTGCTGTTTTTGTGGTCGCCTTCACTGTTTATGAACACTTTACAGCATTTCGATCTCCACATCATGAATAAAACAGTCAGAATTCTCTGGAGAAGAGCCTGCTGTAAACTGTTGGAAAAAGGTGATGTGCCAACATGTTGCTTTTCAATTCAATTGCACGTTTGCTCTGATATCCAGCTGGTTCCTAAGAGCCTTGTTAGGGAGATCGGTTTCCCATTTAACATCTCTCACAATTATACCTAAGCCATTTGGAAATCATGCATCTCGCAAGCCTGAAAGCTTTTAAATAAAAGGAAGCACAGCGGTAGAAAGAGAGAGGGGTTGACAGAGAGATGTGTGTTTACCGCAGAGACCCTCCATAAATGACATGTTACAGTACTTCAGATAGTGAGGGATCTGACAAGCAATTATAGAAGCCAAACAAGCTCAGTGCTTTCAGAAGAGCAACAGAGAGAATAATACAGAGATGGTACAGGAGCAGTTATTGAAGTCTGAGAGACAAGGATAAGAGGTCAGCGTTGGTGGGATCTGCAGCGGAAGAGGAGAAATTACACACTTCAGGAGTGCAGC